TCCCAAAAATAAATAAACGTTGAAAAAAAAAAATTTTTAAAGTAGGGAGGGATTTAATTCAGGGAATTAGGTTCTTGGAAAGACGTTGAAAGGACAGAGGAGAGGGAGGTGAGATGTCACCCTGGCTCACGGGCTCACCACTGTGACCTCTGAGGCTCAGAGGCCCCCAGGCCTCTGCCACGGGCGCGAAGCCCCACGTCACATCCCCCCACGGGCTGCCGACAGCAAGCGGCCCAGGGGCCTCCCTGACCTGTGTGGAGGTCGGCTGGTAAGAACCCCATTTTGGCATCTGTGCCTCTTGGTAGAAGCCTGGCCCCTGGTGTGCACCACGGCCCTGTTTATAGAGAGAGGAAGACGGCAGGTGCTGTGGTCACAGCCGAACCCCGTCTGCTCGCCGCAGGCCTCCTGAGAGGGGCAGTTCTTGGGGGGGGACGTGTCCACCTGTGGGACTGGGTTGATGCCAAGGAAGGACTCGAACAGAGTAGCCCAGGGTGGGAAACCCACAGGTGCCGGCCAACACACGGCACATGGGAGCGTGGTGCAGCCACCCCGTTCACAGGGGACGAGTGGCTGCGGATACAGTGCGCCACCACCTGTCCGGGTTCCAGAGAAGACAGGTTCGTCCGTGGCGGCACGGGCCCGGGAGGCTGATCCTGGGGGCGGGGGGGGCGGGGGGGGGGGGGGGGGGGGGGGGGGGGTGGTTCTACGGGGAGGCCTCCGCTCCATGAGCCGGTGCACTTGTCCACGGAGCTGCCTAGTGAGGGGCTGGGACCTTCCCTCTGTCGGCTGCGAGTGCGTGGTTTTATGCTGTTCACACTCACCCTTGTGTGAGCCTTTCCTGTCATTAAACGTTCTGAAAAAATTGGACTATTAGCAAGTGGATATGAAAAAATTTCAAGGAGAACACGATTACCCTTGAAAAGGGGAACAAACATTTTCTGTTCACGTGTTAAAAGTGCGCACCCCGTCAGCGTTCCATTGCTCTGCGCACTGGTGGTGTGCAAATCGATACGTTCACCCTCCCCCCGCAGCCCTGCCAGAGCGTGTAGCCGTGCGAACGACAGAACTTCTTTTAATGGTTAGCCCGCTGCACCCGTGGCGTGTCTTCTTAATCCGTGCCTTCCTTTCCCCCCCAGGACCTGATAGAGAATGTCGTGGCCGTGGCCGAAAACACGGCCGACGAGCTGGCACGCAGTGATGGGCGGGAGGTGCAGCTGGAAGAGGACCCTGATCTGCAGCTGCCTTTTCTTTTGCCGGAAGACGGCTATTCTTGTGACGTCGTCAGGAACGTTCCAAACGGTTTACAAGAATTTCTGGACCCTCTGTGCCAGAGAGGTGAGTCGCCTTTGCTGCGCCTGCGGTCTGCACCGCGGCCCGGGTCCAAGTGAGAACTGGTCGTGCCGCGTCCTGACGTGCAGTCCCCCGCATCGTGCACCCACCCCGTGCTTTCCGAGAAGGCTGTGTTCTGGGGCTCGGGAGTGAGTGCTCCACGGCTACAAGGGGTCAGAAACGTGCAGCCACCAAGGGCACTTGCTGTGCACGCTCGGTGTCACGGCCACACGTCTGCTGGGCTGGTAGGAAGGGCCTTTGGTTGCTCCTCCCTTGGTTTCTTGTGGGCCTGGAACGGAATCGTCCCTGGGGGGTCACGCGGCAGACGTGTCGGGGTGGCACCGGGTCTGGAATCGGACGGTCTGAGGCGTGACCTCAACCTCGTCACCTGTGACTTCCCCTCTGTGAAACGGCCACGTGGATGGCGTGCCCCTCGTGGGATTGTCGTGAGGACCGAGCAGGCGCTCAGTGGCAGAGTGAGCCTCCGGTGTGGCCGCTGCCGTCACTGTGCCCAGTGCCCATGGGGACCTGCCACGTGCTTGTTGGCCAGGCTCCAGCCTGTCTCGTCTCCGGGCAGCGTGCGTCCCTGGTTTGATCCTGTGCCTTTTTACGTATTGTTGGTGCATGTGGATAAAAATGCCACACTTAGACCTGAAGCGTGAACTTTTAAATTAGGCCAAGTTGCAGTCCCAGTCTGCTGCCTTATTTTGTACCGCAGAGCTCAGATGAGTAGAAAGATAGATTCAAAATTCAGAGTTTGTTTAAACAAAAACACTAATAGCAAAGTTAAGGTTTTATGTCCATCGGTATATAAATGTAGCGTGATTTGTAATCTCACTGAATATTCCACTTGCTACAATACATAGATTCTCATGTTTTTAAAGATCTTGACGGTTTATTTTTTTATTTTTATTTTTTTTTAAATTTTTTTTTTCAACGTTTATTTATTTTTGGGACAGAGAGAGACAGAGCATGAACGGGCGAGGGGCAGAGATAGAGGGAGACACAGAATCGGAAACAGGCTCCAGGCTCTGAGCCATCAGCCCAGAGCCCGGCGCGGGGCTTGAACTCACGGACCGCGAGATCGCGACCTGGCTGAAGTTGGATGCTTAACCGACTGCGCCACCCAGGCGCCCCAAGATCTTGACGGTTTAAAATTTTTTCACTTCACAAAGGCTGCTGCTTGTAAAGGAAGGGTTATGTGCTTCTACATCCCCCAGCAAATGTGGCTGGAGCCCCCCCTCCTCCCCTCCCCCCCAGGGATGGTGACCGTGGGCTCGGGGAGGTGGAGGCGAGGCGGCCTGTGCCGCTTGAAGGAACCTCGTGGGAAGGATGAAGGGGCAGGCACGGAGCCTGTGTGAGCAGGGAAGAAGGGGGTCCGGGCCGCAGCATGCGTCTAAGAAAGCTGCGGTCGAGATTGGGACTCTTGGAGCCACGGCTCCTGTCGGGGGACCCCACGCCCCGGCAGACTGGGGCTGAGCTGGTCTCTGGCACCACACCCATCAGCCGCGTTTCCTCAGCACCTCACACACCCGGGGAGGTGATGACGGGTGCCTTCCCAGACCTCCTCCTCCCTGTGGCCCTCCGCGGCCGGCCGGCCCGTCAGCGCTGGGCTTGCTGGCTCTCCTGCCCCCAGCTCGGCCCCGCCACCTCCAGGATCAAGCACACCAGTGGCCACGCACGATAAGCCACCTCCACGTGGTCTTAGTTCTCGACCTCGCTGTCCGCGTTGAACCGCGCGTCGCACGGCCCCGGACGCCCCTGTGCCTTGCTCCCTGCTGCCGCTGCTCGTTACTTTAAATCTGCATCAGGCAACCCTTTGTCAAGAAAACTCCGCCTCCTCCTTGCACTGAAGCCACTCTTCCACGAGGGCTTCTGTGTTCTCTTGGTTAGGGTTCTTGTGAGAGCACTTGAAACACGTGAATACGTCCGTCCAGGGTCAGGCTCTGCGTACCCCTCAGCACCTAGCGGCGGGCTGCTGGGCGCCCAGGGCTCAACAAGCCCCGCTTCTCATTAATTCCTTGAGAACGCGCACGAGGGAGGACTAATTTACTAGCATTCTTCTGATGCGTCCGTGTAATTTGTGGTGTGTGCCCAGCTGTCAGTGTTGGGGTACGTGCCCTAGAGAGGTTTGCCAAGCTGGGAAGACTCCGGTCTTGCCTTGATGGTGAAGTGCACCTCGTGCCTTCCCCTGAGGCTCCCTTGCGTGATTGATTTCAGGACATAGGTGATATTTCATCATGGTCTGGGCATCCGCACATCATTTCGTACGTGTTAGATGGTAACACAGCCTATTACACAGATGCCTTTAAAAGACTTACAAAGAACTGGGTGTTTTCTTTTATGACATCAGTGTTTTTGATTCTTCAAGCTTAATTCTTTGTAAGCCAAATAAAGAACTACTGTGCCCTCTCAGTGTATATTCCTTTTGTTTTGTCAAATCCTGCAGTTCTGTGAGAGAAGGCTGTAAAACCAGCTCGGACTCACACCTGACCTGAGATGCGTTCCTTAAGCTGAGGCAGCAGAAACTGTCTGCTTGACGTATGACCCAGCCTTGTTGTGGAACCCTGGTGTTTGAAAAAATAAGAAAATGATGAAAACTATTAATTTCAAAAGTGTGCTAATCGATTACATGAGTATTACAATTCCCTAAAGCAGGAGAGAGAGAAGTTGCAGGTTTTATTTGAATGAAACTGGATTGAAACAGTGATTTAACAACAAAAAAAGACTATACGTTTATATCTTTATCTTAACCAAGTAATTGTGACGTGTCCTTTTCCCTTTACCGCAAAAAAAATGTCCTAAGTGCCCCCAGATAGCCATACTTTCCTTACTGGTGGAATCCTAGTGTGGGAGAGGGCCCGCCAGCACCTACTGGGACTCTGCCCAGTCCTGGGTCCTCAGGGCGCCCTGGGGCCGGGAGGGCCGCTGAAGAGCACACGTTTTGGGGGGGGGGGTGCTCTTCAGAGCTGCTAACTGCTAATAATAATGAGACCGCCGTGGAGAGAATGTAAGAACTGTGCAAGGCCTGTGTGATACGACTTTATCAAGAAATTTCTGGGAAACACAGAATAAGATCTCCATGAAGAATGACATAAATTGAAAGGCTTACTTTTGTAAAGATACCGTTTGTTCATGATGGGAATACCAAAGATTTTCCTTAAAACGTTACAAAACGATTCTAAGATTTATTTATAAGAGCTTTAGGTAACTAGTAAGGAAATTGGGACAAAGGGTAATGAATGAGTGGGGGCCCCTCCTCCTGCAGAACCACCACACAGGTCACGTGACACCCTGGCCATCACCATACCGCCTGACTACGGGCAAACACCTGCATTAGCATTGTCCCTGGTCCCGCTGTGCAGGGCATCGCCCACACACAGGTCAGCAAGGAAAGAGGGACAGCATAATTCAGTCATTTCTCCAAGAAGTAAGGAGAAAAGTTCTTTGGAAATAAATGGGGGGGGGGGGCAGGAGGGGAGACGAGTTTCACTCTTCGTCTTGATGTCGATCCGTTAGACCAAAAAATAATGATTTTAACTATCTGATAAGACCATTTTGAGAGGGAATAAAGGTGTAGAGTAAGAAAAGTAAATGCTGTCACTAGATACTAAGTATTTGATGCTTATTAATGTTGCTTCCCTTCTTGAAGATTGTTTTTGTTTTTTCTTTAATTTTTTTTTAATGTTTATTTTTGAGAGCGAGCAGGGGAGGGGCAGAGAGAGAGGGTGAGACACAGAATCTGAAGTAGGTTCCAGACTCTGAGCTGTGAGCACAGAGCCCAACGCGGGGCTCGAACTTACAGATCGCGAGATCGTGACCTGAGCTGAAGTTGGACTTAACCAACTGAGCCGCCCAGGTGCCCCTCGAAGATTGTTTTGACATGCTTATTTTTCAGTTTTATAATTTGCTTGTTTTCTCCTTAGGGTTTTGCAGGTTAATTCCTCATGCACGTTCACCAGGTACTTGGACGATATATTTTGAAGGTGCAGATTATGAGAGCCATCTTCTGCGTGAGAACACAGAGCTGGCAAGTATTGTGAAGGGTGATGCGCGGGACAGAGACCGACCTGTATTCCTTATGATTCGGAAATGGAATGCAAACCCGTTCCTTGATTGTAGAGAGTGGTGTTGTGATAAAAAAAAAAAAATTTTTTTAATCATCTTTTTTTTAAGATTTTATTTTTAAGTTCTCTCTACACCCAATGTGGAGCTTGAATTCACAACCCCAAGATCAAGAGTCACACGTTCCACCGACTGAGCCAGTCAGGGGGGCCCTAAAAAACACCTTTAAGTACCAATTTTATTTAAAAATCTGAAACTGTGATTTATGTATATTTTTCCCATGCCATGTTTATACACTTTTTTCCATAAACAAATGATACTTTTAAAATTAAAAAATATTTCTGCTCACAGCTATACCAGTCTTACTGTTAATACGTGTTTTTAAACACATATTAATACAATAGCCTTAATGAATTTTATTAGGGAATATTTTTCTTTGGTAAAAATATTTTCTCCTTATAGTTGGTTCTACCCTGTATTGAGTTTGTATCACATCACTTAACATCTTGTATCTTTTGAAAGAGTAGTCAATCCCCATATTTGTTAGCTTCATACATTTTATGGAAGATTCTCCTTTGCTCCCTACAAGGAGCTTTAGACAACAAAGAATGTTTTTCCGTGCCTGAGAACGTGACGTGTACTGACATGTCTTTCATTAACATACGAGTGCAGAAAAAATAGAAACAAATGAAATCTTTCCTCCTTGAACTTTTGTTGAGTTGCTCAGTTTAGATATTTTGCTATAATTGCCATTTTCGTCTTTTCAGCCACTTCAGGGTTCAGAGGAACAACAAACGTAACCATACTTTGGCAAGATTCCTGTGGGTAGGGCACGAGCGCATTACCTGTGATGAGATGTGGCCATTTATTCACTGCCCGCCTGTCCCCAGAAGGCACGGGGTAGGCCCCGTGTGCCCGAGCCAAGATTTAGAGATTCTGCCGTGTGAAAACAGCCACGGGACTTCATTATACTATCCCAGTTATGAATCAGTGGTCGGTCCAAACGTTTTGCCCATTTTATATATAACTTCTAAGAAAACGTAGATTTCCGTAAGGTGGTAATACTTAACGTGAGATAGCGTTTTGTGTATTTTGTGTATTGAATTCAAAGGGACTTTTTATCATGGCATGGTAGCCTACTTCAGATTTGAGTGCGTATCTCCAGCACCTGACTTAGTTGATAGTCGCCCGGTTAGGCCAGATAGCTGGGCGCTAACTGCTGGCACCACGCACGTGCTTCTCGTACTCGCGTCCACCCTGCTAGCTGGTGGCCGAGTCCCATGCAACAGCAGTTACAGTTCCCAGATTTTACAGGAAAGAAGTACCTTGGTAGATGAGATCAGGGATTCCTCGTCTTTCTAGTTTGTTCCAAGACCCCTCGGGAGATTCCAGGTCTTAATCTAAAAAAAAAAAAAATTGTAACGTCACCCATTGTTTATTTTCCTTAAACTATTCTCTCACTGACCTTGGTCCTAAATTAGAAGCCATATGTAATTACCACTTGTTGGCAGTGTGCCTTTGTACTTAGTGTACTTAATTGATTAAATTCTCCCTTAGTGTGTATTAATTGATTAAATTCTCCCTTAGTGTGTATGCGCTGGTGATTTTCTTCTTCAGCTCTGTTTATCCTCCGTGTGAGGTGCGACTTGTGTGTGACGTAACTGCAGTGGGTAATTCCCCGTTCTCCTTCGGTTACGGATCTTGAAATGATCCGCGTGTCTCATCGAGCCGCGACTTAGCTCCTTTCGGGTCTGTTACCCAACGTAGTGACCCAGCACTGTGGGCACTGCCGCGGCATTGTGTGGTTGTTGTGCGTTTGCTAAGATAAAATGACAGCCGTATCTTCCCGAGAGACGGGCACGCTTGGTGGCAGTGGTTGTTTGCTGACCTCCCCGTAGATGGTGTAAAAAGAGTCTAAATTGCTTCTTTAAAAAACACCTAGTAGTTTACTTTGCAAGGTAATAAAGTGAAAACTTGGTATTGTCTCTATGGTTGGGTTTTTCTAATCTGGTAGTGATGGAAGTTTAGTTTTGTTGGAGAAATTAGGCTCTCGAAACACGTTTAAGTAGCACGTGTGACTAGATTCATCTTCAAGGTATTGACACGAATATGGACACTTATTGTACCGGCTTCACGCACGAAGAGCATCTGTACTCCTTGACTGGTCTTCTTCCCGCTCCCTGCCCCCTGCCTCTGTCCTGTGCACCCTGGTGCGTAGGATCACTGCGTAGGTCAGGAGGTGGTGAGTCCAGAAACGCTTTGTTTCAGCCGTAAGACACACCTTTGTTTTTATTCTTCAGGCTCAGCCTCTGCGGAAAGAACCTGAAATAATCACTGTGACTCTCAAAAAGCAAAACGGAATGGGCCTCAGCATTGTCGCGGCAAAGGTAGGACGGAGTTGGCACCGCGCAGGTTGGCACACCACATTCCTGAGACCTTGAATCAGCTGTTGGCCACGGCGGGACGCGGGGGCGTCGTTCCCC